CGACCACTCTATACTTGTATAAGATGTATCATTTTGAAAATCACTGATAAATACAGTTATTGCCATATTTCATGCACTTTAAAAATTCCGAAGCCATAGGTGCTGTCAGATAACTTTATAAGTGGCAGCTTAAACTGCTGTTGCCTACTTCAGCAATGTAGAAAGAACCACACCATACATTCTGTGGAAGGCAAAGCTATCAGAGGCAATGTCGGTGTGAAAAGTCTTAAAGTGAATTATTCACCCCTTAACACTCCCTTGTGCTCAAACTGCTGCAAAGAGAAAGCTTGTTATCAAGGAGAAAAGTAGCACCTTTGAATTAAGGGAAAAGTTGTGCTTGTTTTATTTGGGTTTTGACTCAGTGGCATCAATGTATGCAATCAAACTTGTGTCTCTAACTCAGAGGGTTTTTCAAAATTCCACTCACCTTTATCCCTGGATTCGGAAAACACTGGATTTCTAAATATAAGTGAACCTATAATGTTAGGGTTTAATACCACATCTAAAAACCATGTATTTTAGAAGAAATGCTGCTTTTGTTCACTGACTCCCAATCCAAAATCCAGGTTTGAGTGATGAGTTGCTCTTTGAGTGAAGGCTTCAAATATAAACCTGGCGTTTTCAAGGAATAATTTCTATGTGGGTCAATTCTTCTAGAACAAAAATTTCTCCTTATTTTTTTTATTTTATTCAAGGAAAAATCTGTTTCACATTTTACACACCTTTCTAACCCATTGTCATTAAGTAGATTCTAACTTATATTGATCCTATTGGACAGAGTAGAGCTCTGCTCCACATATTGTTTCCCAGGCTATAAAGCACATTTTCCCACTGCTCTACTGCTGAAGAGCTGGTGAATTTGAACCACCAACATTATGACTTACAGCCAATAGTTTTAACCATTGAACAATCAAGTTTCCTTCTTTATCCTCTAATATTTTACATATGTATAAAGACAATGTTTACAAGTGTAGTGTTAAAACTAAAGTTGCCTTTTTTAGCCATTACCTTAGCCACCTCTGGTCTCTAGATAACTCCAGACATATGGTCTATGCAGATCATCAACAGCTGTGTGACTGAGGTAAAAAAGAAATCGCTTTTCATAGTGGAAGACAAGACTTGAGGGAGACTGGAGCAAGACCCTAGTGAGAGCAAGACCCTCCCTGGTGGTAATACCCTGCTGATGGTTGTAGAGAAATTGTGAAATTGCTGTGGAGAAACTGGCAAAACTAGAGGAACCCTGAGATAAATGCCACAGTTAAAGATTTTGCTGTGCTTGCTGGTAATTAAGGAGAAGCTAAATTATACCTGCTCTGAGGCAAACCTTGCTGGATAATTGAGGAAACCAGAAGCTGCTTGAATTTGTGTTGCTGAACTGAAACTATAGAATTTGGACTAACTGAGGAATTGTGCCTTGGCACTTCTGGGCTTAAAGCTGGATTTGCAATGGTTAATATTCATTACCTCTCCCACTTATTTCCCTTACAAACTCCCTTCTCAGTACCACAGCTATGAATCAGCAATGACTAATTTAATCTTTTTGTCATTGGTGTGGCTCTCCAAGCATCGTGGGGCTGAGTTATGTGTTTTTTTATCTGCTATCCGCTATGAGATGGTAGTGTGCCGTGTAATTCTCACTCCTTCTGGACCGTTCAGAGAGATGCTCATGGCCCTGTACCCTCATGGCCTGTTTTCTACTCTCTTGACAACAGGACAATATAATGATTACGCATATAAGGGAAGAAACAAATTTTGTATTACATGCAAAGCATTGTATCTTTTGTTCTTCAGGGTCCAACTGCTTATCAATTACATTAAGTATACTTTTTCCATATATACTGAGGTTTTCATTTTTAGAAGTTTCATTTGGATTTTGTTGTGTTACCCCCTCCCATTTCTCTTTTATTAAGGGTCAAAATTAGAGTGAGATAAAGGAGGTACATAGGGGACAAAATTCAAGAAGTCATTCACTTAAAGCATTTTGCACAGATTTTTAAAGGGTGATTTCTGGCAAATTCATCTACTCTCATTCCTAGGTCTTGCTTATATTAATTGACTTTTCTCCTAGGTATTGATCATATTTTCCTGATTTATTGCATGACTTGTGATTCCTGCTTAAATTTTCAGTATTACAAATTTTGTCATGTTGAATGCTAACTTCTGTTGTACTTCCTATGATCTGAACAAAATTCATATTTGTGGAATGACAGAATTTATCCATTAGACTGAATATTAGCATTTTTCCCAAAGGCACCTTTCATGTTCCTGCACCAGTCATTCTGGATGTGGCAGAGCTGTTTATTGCCTCTGTAGAAACATTCCTGACTCTTTAATGGATAATATAAGATAATGTTTACAAATTAGCAGCAAAGTAATTGTTTGTCTACAGTATTTAATTATCAGGATATTGTTGCTAATTGTTAGAAACAATTCTAGCAATATATACTTAACTAATATGTATACTGGAGAAAAACTGACCATAGAATTTTGTTTCCTAATGCTTACATAATTCATCCCTCTTCATTTTGCAGGAATGCATTTACAGATTAGTGTTTCTGATGTTTTGTTTTGTTTTTCTCTTACAAGTTCATCAGAGTGAAACTCACAATGATAAGATCTTCTTTTTCCTCATCCAACAGGTGATTCATGTTATAGAAATCCCAGTATTGTTTTAAAATGTACAAGACTTCTTTCTAATAATTATCATTTCATGATCATTCCAGAAACAAATTAGTTGCTGCTGAATCACAACTCATGGAGAGCCCATTTGTGTGAGAGTAGAGCTGTACTACAGCTGATTTTGACCAGCTCTTCCTTCCTTCCTTCCTTCCTT